TTGCCTAAACACAGTGCAATGTGTGAGAGAGCCTTCGGTCAAGTGAGGCACTCCAGATGCTCCTGCCAATTCAAGACAAACTAGACCCCATGCTGCTTTGCTTGAGATACCCAATCGCTTACAACCAGGCAGAACTTCTTATCTCTTGAACAAGAGTCTAAAAGACTTTGATTTTTATCACCAGTGATCATGAAAAGTTTTCTAGTGTAAGAGTAAGATTGAGAAACTAGAGTGGTTTCTTTGAGTGTGAGGTAAGATTTGTTAGAAGGACATGGCTTTATCTCTTTGAAGAATGGTCCATGCTAGAAGGAATCATCCCCTTGTTTCCAAGGCTGGGCAGGCCTTCAATAAAAGCAGACAGTTTTGGGTAAAATGTTAAAAAGGGAAGGTTTAGGTCAGGGTTAGGTTTAAAAACACATAAGGTTTAAAAAAGTATCTTTACCTAACATTTTATGGGGAAAATCATGAAGAGTAACTGTGGTCTTTTGGATGAAGGCACACTTATCTGCTTGAAGTGGTATGGAAAGCACAGATGCCCTCATGCCACAAAGCAAATGGCCCACTGCTTCACTGAGTCCATCCTCTAATTAACTGCATTCTTCATCAAGGCTGTGGGCTCTGGTCAGTGTCCATGCCCTGACAGGTTCATTAGCTCAAAATTCAAAGCACAGAGCCATCCGTGACATGTACACAGATGTCACAAAGCCAGGGGTCGTTGCCATAGAACCACATGGCACCAGCGGCTATCAGGAACTATTTCCCACAAGTCGCATTCCAAGAGCCATGCACGTAACATGTAGGGATATATTTAGGCTGTGAGAAAAAGGCACGCATTAGTGATTTCCTCAAAACTACAGATGTTCTGATGTTGCTGTGGTTTTGTTTCTTTGGTAGTGACTGAGAGACTAATATCTTTATGACTCAGACTCAAAGAAATTCAGCTTTTCAGAACACAAATTGTTATTGTGAAGTTAATTTTGTCATTCACAACCCCAAGACTTGTTTACTTTGGTTTTAACCCACTTAGCTATCAAAGAGAAATATCAGTTCCAGAAATTATGCGACTCATTTGACCTTGGTAAACAGGATTTTTTTTAGATATTTACAGATCCGACACTTCTATATGAAAGAGGTTAAAGGCCCCAACCTGGTTCCTTTCTCAGGACTGACTCAGTTTTTTATGGAGGCATATAGGGGTGAAGGAAATAAAGGGGTTATTGGCAAACTGTACAAAACCATTTGTTTAATGAATAGAAATTCTACTAATTATGTGAGACTTCGATGGGAACAAGATACACAGGAAAAGATAACAGAGGAAGTATGGTCATGAGTATGGGAAAACCATTGTACTTCCACTAATTCATTGATTTGGAGGGATTTTTACTGGAAGCGTCTGATCAGATTTTTTAAAACGCCCAAACTCAAATTAAGGTTGACTGGGCCCACTTCCCCTGCTGGAGGGAGTGTGGGGCAATGGACGTAGACCATGCGCATGTAGTATAGTGTTGCCCAAAAATTCAATCCTTTTGGATTAATATGAGGAGAATTATTTCTGACATCTTGGGTTTTAATGTGGAGGTGTCATTTAACTCTATGTATCTTGGTGTAACCCCTGAAGGGTTAAGTAAGAGTGATTGCTACCTATTGAATATATTTCTGGTCGCTTGTAAGAAAGCTATTACTAAGTGCTGGCTCAGAAGAAACCCCCCAACTGTGGACCTTTTTGTTGAAATTGTTACTTATATTCGCTCCATGGAAATGTTGACTTACTCCGTCTTCAAAAGGAGAGAGGGAAAAAAAACTGGATGAAATGGGATTGCTACACCCGAGTAAGCGTGGTGAACTGAGACCTTTCACTCTGGTCTTTCTGCCTGGTGTATGAAAACAGAGATCGTTGTTGAGTTTTATGTTTGAAATGTTGTACCTGTAAACCTCCGACTTTAAACAAGACCTCATGTACCTTTGTTTTTTTTTTGTTTGTTTGTTTTTTTTTGTTTGTTTTTTTTTGTTTTTTTCAACCTCTTTTGTATTTTGTGGATATGAATGTGAATTTGCACAAAACAAAAATAAAAAATTAAGTTTAGAGAAATATTAGTGGGGGGAAGTACACTGGTAAGCACTGGACACAATATTAGGAGCCACTACATTTTATATCAGTCCGTCAGCAGGTTTTGGCTTTAGGGGTCAAGCAAGCATTAAGCAGGGGTATCATCTCCTTTTAAAGACAATAAAGCCAGCCAAACCAGTTATCTGATGTCAATTACAGAGCTCACATGAAATGACCTTCATATGTGCAGAAAGAGACAATACCATATATCATCAGCAAACTGCGTAGGTTGATCTTTGCTCTCCAGCTCCAGCTGTCCAATAAGACAAAGTTCTAAGTGTTTCTACAATGCTGCACAGAGGATTCAGCAGAATTTTCAGGAAATGCTACAGCCTTAACATCTTTACGAAGACCTAGGAGAAAGGAGAAACTTCTAGAGCAGGAAGAACTGTCAGTTGACCTCCACATGCAAGGATTTTCTCTTCTTTCCCAGAATCCTTTTTCCGGAATTCATTTTTTAAAATTATTATTGTAATTATTATTTCCTATCTAACTTAGAAGTTTGACCTCCTTAAAGATACCTGAAAGCAAAACAAGTCACCATCTTAATTGTTAATGAATAATGTCTGGGTTTAACATCTCTGGGTTTGGCCCACCTTTGAGGTCTTGTGTCATAAATAAATGGCACCTCAAAGATGATACGCATGACTAACACCTAACATTAACATGCTTGGAGATAATGGAAAGCACATTGGCAGAAGAGAGGATAAGGCACTGTCTGACGCCACCCTGTATGGAACTTTCCTGTCAGGAAGCCAGCCAAGTCCTGGTTGGTTCCGGAAGGTTCTAAAGGTCAGTACCGGAGGTTGACTGGGATGAGCTGATAACAAAAGAGACTCTGGGGATGAGCGCCAGTGTGGCGGGAATGGCCAGACAGACACCCTGTGGGATGCCTAGGTATATATCACTAGAGGCAAGACTTTATCTCTTGGTTTGTGAGTTTTTGGAGGCTGCTGTGCTGCATATGGGTGATAACATTGTGAAGAAAATGTTAAGACACACAAGATTTGCAAGCTTCAAATAAAGCAGATTTCTTCAAGTAGTAGTCTTTTGAGCTTTGTTCAATTTCTCTTATTATGAACAGTAATTTATACGAGCCTTTTGATCATTTCTCATTTCAGAGGACGCTTCATATTTTAACTTAATTAACTGAAAGTAAGTGTCCTTCATTACATTATGTGATACACTTTCTTATGCTGTCATCTATAAATCCACAGATGTAGCCTGTAGTACCTGTAATGACACAGAAATATCTACAGAGTTGTGTCCACTTTAGGAAACCAAGAGTTAACAGCATTGTTACTTAGTTAGAATCAGCTTCCCTTATGCTGCATTTTAAAGTACACTATCCCTGCTGATGTCCTTAGGCCATGCGAGTGTAAGTCAAGACTATTAGTGCCACTGCTAATAACTCTCACATCATTAAAACCACAACCCCTACAAGGCAGTATGCTCCAACATGTTACATACTGCTATTTTGAAAGGGATCTGGAAAACAATACTGCTTCCGTTTCACGAGGACTTCATTATATTAAAAAAACACAGAATCATACTTTATGGACCCTGTGCTGAGGCAGTGACACTACTGGCTGTGATTGCTGTTAGTGCCACTAGGGAAGTCATATAGAATGTTGTTCTATGTGACTTCATGTCTGATGCAGTACAGTGCCGATTGGGTTTGGATACTGATACCGAAAAGTGTTTAGTGTCACTTGCCGTTGGGTGTGGAAGACTGCAAAGAAATTTATTAAGTCTGTTCTGTAATACGTATGCTATTCCCTCTGCCCCAGTAACTGTACAAACTAAAGCTATTGACATTTGTGGGATTTGTGTAAAGGGATATCCCATGATTTTTCACAAATGTTATTTTCTGGTGCATTTTCAGCGTTTCCGGGTAATTTTTGTAGTTTTTAACTGCCCCTCTCACAGGTCTGACAGGAACTTAGAGGCAGCTTCGATCTCAAAGGGGTTTTAAGAGACCAGTAATCAAACCAGCTAAGTAATAAAACTGTTAATGTAATTAAAGCAAATACATATGTGATTACAGAGGTGGCATGAGTCACTCAAATGAAACTTTCTACATTTGTAAAACAGTTTTAAGAGCCATTTTAGGCATGAATGGACTCTAAATGTAATGTCACCAAGCAGACAGACCCCAGAGCGGGCTTGAACCCTTGCCCCTTTGCCCTTAGACAATATAAGTGCCTTCCTGGTTGGCATGTATAATAATTGTCTTTTATATTGTCGTTCTTCAAAAACTGTTTAGCCTCACTTCGGTTATAGAGTTTGTGGGTTGGCTGGCATTCCTCAAACTTCACTGCTCTTTGGTGCCCCCTCTGGTCAGCAACTCCAGTGTGTCAGGGGTGCACGCATCACCACAGCACTGGAAATCCCATCAATAAAGTGCTGATAACATCTCATTAGGAAAGCATCACGTTCCCTAATGCAGTTATTTTGAACAACCAAACAAATAGCATTAAGGTGTGCTAATAACTTGCTAAATCAAGTTATTAGCACCCCTTACTCAAGTTAATCAAGTTTGAGGTATTGAACAAATGGGAATTTATCAGTGTTTTTTTATGGCTTCGTCAAGCATTTAAATTAAAACTCTGAGGAACATTGGGCAGTAAAGCTAATATGTTTGGTTCTTAATACTACATTCGGTTTCCTCTGAAAAGTGATTATACTGGCTCTCTTGATAAGAGTGGTTGCTATGTGCTGTTTATTAAATTAAGTTTAATTCATGTTCATTTTGCCCTTCTTTCCTTGAGTTCCTGCCCTCCCAAAATGTCAGTGCACAGGCCTGAATATCACAATCACCTAGAAACATAACATAAAAGGAAAATTAAATGTGTGTACAAAAAGACGGAGGATGGCTTTAATGGTTGCTGACCTGTATAGGAGAGCTGCAGTCGCGGCCCATTCTGGCTCCAAGTCTTGCTGGCTCTGACAGCAGGCAACAGAAACTGAAGCAGCACAGCCAGCAGTGGCCCTGTCCTCCACGGTCCCGCAGTCTTCATCTCCAGTTTCCTCTGCTTCAGATGCAGGAAGTGTTCTCTGTCACATTACCTTTGTGCTTCTGTTGAGAACACATAGAAGACTCAGGCATGGGAGGCTCAGTAATAATTTGTTCACAAATACAATATTTTCATAGGTAAAATTTAGCCTTCACTGGAGACCAGAGGAGAGTGGAAGCATATGTATGTGAATGTTCAGTTTATGCTGATAATCATCCACTAATCTGGCTAATGCATTAAGTTTTAATCAAGTCATGGTCATTGTACTCATAACAATAAGCTACAAGATTTAATAAATCTATATAATTGTTGTTTTATGAACTGGACAAAATATATAATCTTTCATTGAAGATACACTGCAATGTTGGATGTCTTAACATGGACAACCATTAATCCAAATTTTAACTATTTAGCAAACTTGACTGTTTGAACAGAAAAATAACTCTGACCACTTACTTTTAACTAGTTTTGCTAAAGAACATGACCCTTTATGGCTAGAGAATGGCTGGACACTTAAAATCCTCAGAATTGACAAATGACCAAACAAGGGGAAAAACAGGCCCCTTTCCTCTTAAACTCGAGGATGCTTTGCCTCAACAACGTTGAAGAGTGCTCCAGATGACGTTATTGCATAATGACACTGGCCCTGTTCATGTGCCTTGTTTTCTGAACAGAGTCCTGAACTTCTGAATGCCTGGGACATTCCATCTAACTAAACGTCCTGATCTGTAGCGCCACGCTCCACGGCTGATAACTTCCTGAGCTCAGCAGTGCTTAGGGAAGTGCTTCAGCACAAGAGGTGACGGCGGGTACATAAGGGCAACAGAGTTTTAAAGAGCAAAAGTGATTATCCGAGCTGACCAGAAAGCCGATACCTGATCCCAAAATCTGTGAGTAGCATGCCAGTGTGTGACCTCAGCTGGACGAGGTTTATGCTGAGGGGGAAACTGAGGCATTGTTTAGAGAAACGTTCCCATGGCTAATCAGCCCCCCGCAATCTTTATTCTCTTTCCCTACAGAGGTCACACTATGTAAACAAATTGCTTGTGTAACCTCAAAACACTGCAATTGCTCCTAAAAACCCATCATAAACACCATAAATAGAAAAAAATGCTGGAGATACAATCGTTTAGGCTGAATTCTGTTTGACCTCATTATCAGTTATCGTGCTCTACATTGGTTGAGAAAATCCTAAAATAGGCAAGATCATTGAAAAGGTAGTCCTCATTGTGCTGGCTTTCTGTGCCAGGCCTTTTCCCATGCGAGGGTTATTGTGGAGTGAGCCATAGAGCCACACTTACCACGAGGACCCCTGGGGAGAGATTTGAACACAGGCAAATGAGCTTAGGGCTAAACATATGCAAAATGAATACAGGCACTTTTTCCACCCTTTCACAACCTCAAAAGATACGCCAATTATGCTGCTAGTGCAACATAAGAACTACTACCACAGTCTCCAATACATAGAAACTGGCTGCTCCCAGACAAGACTCCTTTGACCCCTTTAGGTATTTATTTTAGGTATTTGGTAACTAATTTAACATCAAACTTAATTTCAGCATATAAAACTGCTGGACTGGCTTCATAATTCATCAGCTCCACATTTGGAGTCCTGGGTATCTACTTAAGATTCTCAGATGCAAAGGGGGATGATATGGGAGCATCAAAAGGTTTGGAGGAGGTGATAGTTTTATGGCAGCAGCTCGGTAAGACGTTAAGCCCTAGGCTGATTTATGCCCCCAGCCCACTCAATCCCTACAGTGCCTGGACCCACGCCTGCAGCTGGATTTACAACAGCAGTCAGAGTGCAGGTGCTCAGCTCAAAAACAAAGCAAGGTCTCTTATTAAGTTCCATCAAATCACTGCAAAAGCATTCATCTTCCTGTTAAAGGAAGCAAACTAACATTCTTGACTCAAGGACAACACATGTTCTCTGAAAAGTGGAAGCGATCTGCCTGACATTAATATAACAAGAAATATGACCTCCAAATGAACATTTTGCTTAATATACCTTTAGAGCTTTTTATTCTTGTGTCAACAGCAGTGGAATTCATTTGGGAGAAAAGAAGGTATTTGAATTACACCTCTTAAGATTCCATTAAAAACAGGAGTTCCCCTTCTTCAGTGACTTTGATTTATAAAGAACAAGGAACATGGTTTCAATCATCATTAACAACTCTAAAGAGATTTCTGGCTTGCTGCCTCACTATTCAGAGGAACAGTGTATTTCTGAAGTTAAAGCAGACCCTGTGTGGTAACTCAATAAACGCTACTGAGGATGCACCATAGAACACAAAATGCATAGCAATTTCTTAATACATGACTTTTTTAGTATATATTTCAAATGAAAAGAAAGAGCAGGTTGGCTTAAAATAACTTCAGGAATAGTATAACATGGAATCATACATGAAGACATTGTAAGTGTTCTTGATTCAGGAGAAAACAGGCATGTCTAAATTTCTGTACAAAGTCAAAGAAAGCCTACAGCTTCGGTTCCGGTGACCCAGACAAAAGCTGGTCATCAGATTTTTAATACAAGGAAAGAAAACAAACACGCAAGTTGTGGGAAAAGCATCACGCATCAGGAACAGGAAGCAGCTGATACTGAAGCATTTCCATGTGACGAGGCTGCTGTATGTGAAGCAAATTGGGCCTTGACTGCTTTCTCTGCTAAAGTGTCCTTGGATATAGCATATCCTATGGTTTCTCAATCAGGAAAAAACATTAATTTCAAGCTGGAGTTGATAAAAATGTCTAATTCATTATCATAAGTAATACTAAGTGAATCTGTGCATTGTTTCATTGGCCATCCAAATGCCTTGCACTGCCATTTGACAGAAAAAAAGTATCTGACTTAAGTGAGAGTTAAAAAAGTTTAAATCGCAGGTGATGAATATCCTATTGTCTATATCATAGACATTTCTAGTGGTCAAGCTCTTGATCAAGTGCAAACACACAACAATTTCTTCCAAATAAAGAAGGCCATGCTGAAAAGCTGAAAAAATAACATACATACAGAGGCTCAGGCAGTGACACAATGGCTGCTGTAGAGCTGAATGCAGTGTCGGGTTGTGTCAGTGTAATGGATGATCGCCTTCACTTCCCTTCTGGCCTTGGTGCGCTTGTGATCAGTGAGAATGAAAAGATCAGCAGGAAGCCTTGCCTGAATGTGCTTCAGCAATCGCTCACCGTGTTTGACAATGACATCCCACCACTTTAGACACTGTTACCTTCCCTGGAGCATGACAATTAATCAGATATGCAGTGCGACAATGGTGTTTTTGTGAAACAGAATTGCAAATGATACTTTGCAAATTGTGCTCTCTAGAGTGAGAGTGGACTTTAACCCTTAGAAGCTGAGAGTTATTCCTTCAATTTTGCTAACGTATTGAAATGTTACTGCGTAATTACTTGTTTAATTATATTGTGAGTTACGTATTGAAATACATTTACATTCTGTATCAATGAGTTGGACTTTGTTCTATATAATAATATGTTCTGTAATAATAAAATATCTCCTCTACTTACAAGCACAAATGTGGATAGAATAAGAATTTCTCTGTTAGTTTAAAAATACAGAATAATTTAAAAGTTAGTAATAATTAATATTGAAATAAACCAGGTGTTATCATGGTTAATTAATAAATAATGATCAGTATCAGACGAAATCTTTGTGATTGAAATTTTTAAGTTTACAAAAGGTACATCTCAGCGCCTACTAGTGACTCCATAAGGCATCCAAATGAGTCAGAAACAGTTTTGCTGTCAGTGCAGCGGTTCCATTCGATGACTCAGAAGACTCACTAACCATGCTGACTATGAGACTTATAATGCCCCATACTGACCTGAAGAACTGAGTAATTCCCCTTACAATGGTTCTGTACAACTGAATCAAATAAATCAAGCCAATGACTAGGCTACATTAGCACAAAACATCCCCTAATCTCCAGAATCAATGTTAAATAGTTAAGAAACAAACATAGTTAAGAGTTCGACAGTGATAATTACACTAAATAATGTATTTTGTCCACACCTTACAATGATAAATTACATTATTTTATCAAAGGAGAAATATATTTACATTTTTGTCATTTTTATTTTACTAGATCATTTTATATCTATTCAAATAATTGTATTGATTTTATTAAGCTGCCTGTTGCAATTTGACATTAAGGATGTGAACAATTTAATAACATTTGTTTTCACAAGAGCAGGAACTGCATGTTTTTTTGGTAACTGCACCTTACTGGTGGGATGTTCTAATTTGGTCAAATTCAAAAATGGGTCTCTTTGCTATGCCAAAGTACAAATAATATGCAATGAACTCCCTCATAAAAGTTTCATTATCTTGGTATAAAAGAGATGAAGAACAACAATGCACTCAATGAAGTCCCACAGACTGGGAGGAAAAGGCTATTCCTCTCTTTGAAATCTTTACTCAGCTGTGAAAAGACCTATCACCCTGAGAGTGGACAACACTGGACTCAACCAGCGGAAAAACAAGCAGCCGGGTACCCTGCTTAAGCACAAATAAAGCAGTGGGCAGGACATGTATCCAAGGAAGGCTTTAGAAGCAAACACTTTCTAATTCAAACCAATTCCTTTCATTCCAAAGCACAAACGAATGCATTTGAAGGGAAAATAGTTTCCATAGTTGGCCTTTTACCCACACTGTCGCACTACAGCACTATCCAGCTAACCAAAACAATTAAGGCTGGTCTATGCTGCCTCATTAGCAACAGCGGTCCTCATCATACAAAGAACAGAGAGAATGTTTAGTGCCAATGAGTGCCTGCCAGTCACTCCCATGGGCATTGGCTGGCCAAGCAAAATAAGACACCAGCTCTATCAGCTTTTGTAATCAGCCAATGCTAACACCTCTCGAAGGAAAAGGAAGAAGCACAGTATTAATGGCTCTAATTATCCCCACTTAATGTAACCTCTTCTTGAGGTAATTTGACAGATTATAAGGTTACCATAGCAAAGGTCATTTTTGTTAATATGTTTACCAGAAGACAGGTCTCTGAAATAAACCAGCTGCATGCATGTGTGTTAGGAGTAA